TTTTTTAAAACGTTGCCCCACACTAGGATTTTCTCCTGTGTCGTGGGTGCGTTTACAAACATACAAATTCACATACACATAACACCCAGACCCGGAACAACAATTTGTGGATCACACAAAGTGTTGTTCCGTGCGGGAATCGAACCCGCGGCACGTTGCACGGCAGCCGGTCGCCCAGCCACCGCACCAACCGTGCAGTCAAATTCAGATGATTCAAATAAGTTTTCTCTTAAGATTTATTCATACTATAATCTGTACATTTTCCTATTCTTGAAATAAAATTATATTTTTCCATCAGACTCACTGACAGTCGGCCAATGTGTGGCGTCGGTAGTGGGCGAATCGCCAGGACTTCGAGTGGAGTCCATGGTCGACATTTGGTACATACAAAGCATGCTGTACAAAGGCAATTCCACCTTCTACGTGCCGTGAGTTATATTGCCATATTAACCTTAACTTTTTAAAATTGTACTTGATCGTGGCATATTCCTAATCTTATTAAAAACTAGTTAGTTCCGCGCGGTTTCACACGCTCTGCTCAGCTCCTATTAGTCGTAGCGTGATGTTTTGTAGCCTTTCTCGATAAATGCGCTATCCAACACAAAAATAATTATTCAAATCAGACTTGTACTTACGAAAATTAGCGCGTTCAAACAATTAACAAAAAAACGAACTCTTCCGCTTTATTTAGTAGTATATAGTATATAATAGAATAGAAATAATAGAATATAATAGAAGGAAAGATAAGATAATGTCACTTTTAAACTAGAATCTTTTCTTTTACTCTATTTGTGGCTGCGGATTAATATCACACGATGAACACTGACACTGTACCCGTTAATTGTCATGAACAGTAATGATTCATATGTTGTCTGTTTGTCTATAGTCCAGGTAACGATACCAGATACTACGGCGACTTTGCGCAGATCATTTGGGCAAAAAGTTACATGGTGGGCTGTGGCCGCAGTCGATTTATGGTAAGTGAATTATAAGTGTTTTTTTATTAATAATATCATTTGGCAACTTGAACTTAAATCATGCAATCAAAAAAGGAACTTTAGCGGTGTACAATAGCACAATCATGTCAATCTCATGTGTTATTCATTTTTTGTCAGACGTCTTGGCAAGGTCGCCTCCGAAGTGTGGAACGTCTAGTCTGCAACATAGCACCGTTCGGACCCCACCCGACGCGCTCCTTATGGATCCCTGCGGCACCAACTGCTGCCTGCCCATATCGTGCAGTGCGATCTTCGGTTTGGGGTGGCCTGTGTGATTACCGTTAGTATCATCCTTGAAAATAATTTAAGTATAACAATAAAAATTGCATTGTATATTGTACAATATTACCGGTGAATATTTTGTCACCTAATAAGAATTAACATTTCAAACAAGAGGATCAACCAGTGAAAATCCTGCATCTTTAATAAAAGTCACAATTTCAGAAAGAAAACAAGACGAGATTGTATCGCTCGATCCATCTACAACGCTAGAAGAACACATACTTTTAAATACTATATTAGAAATAGAAGAAAATGAGACATTGAACTATTTAGGCAGCATAGATGAGATTTACTTAACCAAACTGGCCATTGCAAAATTGGCTAATTCATTAACCACAAAATCACGTTTCAATTCGAAGCAGAGGAGAGAAGTTGTTGATTTTGTAGAGGTTATTGAGTTCTACTTCAATGATAGTACAATCGCATTTATTCCTCAAGTATTAATAACACATGACTTCATATTTATGCAAGATGCTCAAACAAGAAAAACAACCATACCATTGCAAACAGAAATGACACTAAAATTAACAACAGAAACAGAAGAGAAAATGAGTTTGATTGGAAGAACGAGTACTAACAACAAGGAAAATTTGTCTAATTTTGATGGAAAAACAGAAAGTAAGTTCACGAACAATTTTACGAGAGCAATAACATAATATACAACTTATTTACTTGAGATCATATATTTGCAGATATCAAAACCATTAAGGAAATGCCTCAGAAAGAAAAGAATAACATTGCTGAGTATATTGGTACAATTACCTCTAGTACAACTTCGGAAAACTTACTACAGACTACAGAAGTTCCAAAGTTCACTAGTGTGGACGAGGTTTCAAATTTAACAAGCATTTCTAAAGATTCAAGCACTACTGATGATTACGAATATCATACTTATACTGGTGTGTACGATGTTAATGTTAGATATGGATCTTAAAATTAATAGATACTTTATTTTCAAATTGATCGTATTGCAGCGGTGCCTCCTAAAATTTTGGACGATGTGACAAAGTTAGAAGTAGTATTACCTGTAACCTTAAAGAATCCTGAGGATAATGAGCAAGATGATTACGATGACTCTGATGAACCGAGTGGTAGCGAGAGCGATGACGATGAAGACAGTGATGATGGTGAACAAAGTGGTGACGGTAAAGGTAGCAGTGATGGTGACGGTAGCGGCGACGGTGACAGTGACGGCAGCGGTGACCATAAAGGCAGCAGTTACGATAAAAGTAGCAGTTACGACGACGGCAACGGTCATGGTAGAGGAGGCAGTGATAGTGACGGCGAAGGAGGAGGAGACAGCAATGGCGACGACGTCAGGAAAAACAATCGATTTGGCGCGATGTATTTGCCTAATAAGACGGCAGACTTTTTTAATTATGGGTCAGACCGTAAGTTTAAGGAAAAAGACTAATACGTTGTTATGTTTTGTACGAACTTTTGGTTTTTTGTAATGAAGGATCAATTTGACATTACATTTTTTACACTTTGATTATTCTGTGACGTGATAATTGTTTCTTGTTTACAGCTGAAACGGTCCTTCAGCTGCAAGAGGCTTTACATCGTATTGAGGAGGATTTGGCACCAAAGAAAGAGAATCAGAAACGACAAAAGGTATCAAACTTATTGTTTCGAAATATAGAAATGTGTTAGCTTTCAGTAGCAAACAAAAGTTTGTTCAAGCAGAGAGGTATTCATTCGCAATTTTCTAATACTTCTAAGACAAAAAGTATTTGTTGACTAGTTTACTCTTTTACACCAGGTACGAAGAGAGCTGCACCACAAAAGTATGGAGAAAGGAAGACCACGCAAACATCGGAAGAAATCACGAGAAGAGGAGGAGATTCCACAAAAAGTAGCAAACGGTATTAGTCCACTTCTACATTTCATGGAATTAATGCCGAAAGAAGGACGTAATGTCGCTAGTCCTGTCACCCCGTCTCTTGTGATAGTTTTAGTTATGTGTTTAAATAATTGTATTGTTTAGATAATTATGTCTGTATTTTTTATACTTATTTATATTTTTTATTAATGTCTCGTTGGTCGAGTAGTCGCAACTGCGTCAAGTTCAAATCCCGAATTCAATTCCTGAATGGGGTAAGCGTTACTGGGATTTTTTCAATTTTTCGAAAATATCTCAGTAATAGTAGAGAGTTCGAACATAGAACCCCTTATTACAGGGCTTATAATACAGCTAGTGTTATATTGTGTCTGCTCATATTCTAGTCTACCCCATCGGGGATTAAAGGGCGTATAGTGTTTTTTATTGTATTTACTTTTTTAGATTTTTTTGTTAATAAAGTTTTTGATTTTATTATTTGGTTCGATCTACTTATTAATTTGAAGTACCTACCTACATCAATATGATAGAATAGCTGAATGATAATCTACTACGAAACTTGAGGATGTCTAGAGATTTAATTATAGTAATATCTATAGGCATTTGGTTTATAATACTTACAGTTAACGATAGTTCAGAGAAAGATATCAAAGATGATTATCCTAAATTATTACAATCGTAAAAAAAGTATCTTAGAGGTACAATATTGCCTTAGTCTATTCTATTTTGAACTACGCTTAAGACTATAAAAAAATACCACTCGTTGTTGGAAAGTATTAGAAACAATATCTATGTTTAAAAATCAGAGTAGGAGAATTTAGTCAATAGACAGTGGCCTCAGCAGGTAGTTGAACACAAATTAATAAATTGATTTGATTTGACGATTGAGAAGAATGGTTATGCAAGAAATTTAACTCGCTATGTTGAGGACAATTGTATCGTTTTAAATGTTAACAAGGTTTTAAAGGATAAGCCGGTAAACGAGCAGACGGATCACCTGATGAAGCAATCGGTGCCGCCCATAGACACCCGGAACACGGCGTTACAAATGCGTTAACGGCTTTTTGGGGATTAGGAATTTGAGGATTATTTGGGATTCGGGGATTAGGGAGATTGGGGAGAGGGGTAATTAGGCCTTTGATAACCTCAGTCACATGACGAAACACAACGTTATTTTATTTTACGCCGGTTTTCTGTGAGGCAGTGGTATCACTCAGGTCGAGTCAGCCCATTCGTGCCGAAGCATGGCTCACCACTTGCATTAGACGTCGATGCGATGGATGGCGCCATTCGTCTAATATGTAATCAAAATCTATGCACGAATTAAACCTTAATCCATCAAACTTCATAAATCTTCTACGTCCCATAAACAAGGAATCAAAACTGATTTGTCAATATCAAAGAGTTTATGTATGTCATTATTATACGGAAACATCAAGTAAAGTAAGTTTAAAGTAGGTAAAATGTGGAAAATTAATTGTTTATCGCAACAGAACACAGTAAATATAGGTGTAATTTATATGCTCGGCGTAGTCGTCGTGTTGTCCTGTGTACTCGCACTCGGTGCTACCAGCGCCATCAACTACTGCGGCGCCAAGATGTGTGGAAACACCAATGCACATACTTTCTGCCGGTATCGAGTAAGTAATATGTAAATTTTGACTGCTCTATTATAAAACGAACATAACATAACATCACGCCTTTTATCCCCGAAGGGGTAGGCAGAGGCACACAGAAGTAACACCCAATTTTCACTAATTATGTTGAGTCCCATGTAATAGGGGGTGAGCCTATTGCCATATATCGGGCACAATTCCAGACTCCGAGCAATTACTGATATTTTTTTTAAAAACCCAGTAGTACTTTGCACGACCCGGGTGTCGAACCCGAGACCCCTTACCCAGTAGTCGCACTTGCAACCACTCGTCCAACGAGGTAGTCAATTAATAAAACGAACTGAAAATAATTAACCAAGTCAATTTTTATGTCCATCATTAGAATATTTCTATCTTCTGCAGAGCATAGGCCACGCTAGTAACATATTGCTGAGCTGAATATTCAGAATATCGTTTTTACCTAGACTAATTTTTGGGCTTTCGGATTACATTATGTCTAAATTCTTGTGTACATTTCTTAAAGCGTATTTTTCCATGAACTACACAGGAAGGCCCCAGTAATCGGTGTGTGGGGTATCAGGAAGCCAAACTTACAAATAGAGAGAAGACGAGACTGCTATCGCGGCTCAACAATCACAGGAATGTGGCAGCTGGAGGGGGTATACGGGGCCTCCCTCCCGCTGGGAATATGCTCAAAATGGTATGTTGATAATAAAATTTGATTATAATAGATATTGTTAATAACTTTTTTACGAGTTTGTTGTTTGATAGCGTTGGGTCGAGGAGCTGGCTCGTGAAGCCCAGCGCTGGGCAGACCAGTGTCGTCCGCCGCGCATCGTCGAAGAACACGACGCTTGTCGTGATCTATGTAAGTTTTAGAACATTCTACTAACATTATGTCTTGTATTACTTCGAAATAGTGATCTGTGCTGCATTTAAGTGTCAAATGGCTTTTGATCAGGACTTGTCACCGATTTTGGTAATAAGCTGATCTGTAATAGGGAGCTATTGCGGGTCCTATCCTGCAATTGATGGATATGGGTTGACGATGACAAAATAATTACGTCCCGCTTTTGAAAACCACAACAAAACACAAATAACAAGGCCCGAGTGAATAGGTTGCTTATGGGACGCCATGCTCCATTGTGGACCGCATCATCGCTTACCACCAGGCGAGATAGTGGTCAAACGTCGGCCCATCAAATATATATAAAAAAAAACAACAATTATAACATAAGTACTGCTGATTACTGTCGATTGACTGATAGTAGATACTGGTACTTAGTTTGGTGCACAAAAAGTCGTACACTAATGTTATTCTTAGTATTCTTTTCCGATAGACTCTTTACAAGTCGGTCAGTGCGTGGCGTCTGTAGTGGGACAGGAGCCGGTGTCTCAAGTCGAGACTATGGTCGACGCTTGGTATATACAAAGCTTGTTGTACAAAGGCAATGTTACATACTATGTGCCGTAAGTATTAAGGTCTCTGCACACAGCGGGCGCGGCGCGGCGAGACGGGACGGCGACGCGACACTGAGCAGGTGTAATGTACTAGATATTACGGACGATATCACACAGAGCCGTCCCGCCGCGCCGCGCCCGCTGTGTGCAGAGACCTTTAACATTAAATTACAGGGACAAATGTTTTTTTTTGTCTGTATGATAAAAAAAAAAAAACAAACATATGCTGGATATCCTTACTATTATAAATGGGAAAGTGAGTGTGTTTGTTTGTTCCACTTTCACGCCGTAACTTCTAAACCGATTGCTTTGAATTCTTGCAGGCGTAAAGTTAGAAGTCCGGAATAAATAATAGGGTACTTTTTATCCCGGAAAATTTTGATATTCCCGATGGAAAACAAAAGAATTGGTATAGATGGCGCTGTGTGTATTGGTATATGTGACATAGGCTACTTTTATCCATTTGTTAGGCGAGCGAAGCCGCGGGTAAAAGCTAGTAAGTTTATAAATTCTTGACAAACAAGTTTCTCTCTGTTTCTCTTATTTTTAGTTTTAAAGTAACTAACTCATGGAGCATGGATGTGGGTTACTCCTCCTGTCATTAAAAAGTGTGATACAAATAACAAAATTCATATTGATTGCAATGTGGGGCCTGGTGAACAATTTTATCTAGAGACTTGATCCCGTCATTCTGTGTCAATTCAGTACCGATAGAATGGTACAGGTCAAGTTAGAGGAAGTTATAATAATTTTTATGAACAAAGATTACCTTTTCAATTAGATAAGTAGTTGAGTTCGCTAACCGGTATCATCAATATGTCTACCAAGGTCTTATAGAATCTCGTTGTATATAAATTATTCTGTTCTTATAGACCACGAAAAGGTGAAAAATACTACGGAGATTTTGCGCAGACCATGTGGGCGAAAAGTTATATGGTGGGCTGTGCTCGCAGTCGATTTAAGGTAAGTGAATACTTAATATACATATTTATACTTCTAACCTTATGGCGCCGACCACTAGCCTCAGTGGATGGGTAACCTATCAGTACTAATGATAGTTATTTTTTGCTTTTTAGTTTTGGCTTTTTGTTTGTTATTAGTTTTTGATTTTTTAAAGTCGGTTTTTTAAACGCAGCTTTTATTTTGTTATGACTGTTATCTTAAAAAAATATTATAAGGTCTTAAAAAATTCCTTAAAGGCCACATTCATTTGACAAATGCATGCATCTTTCACACACAATAGGCGGCCTACAAACTTGCTTAAAAACAATGAGAACTGTTTACGAACCGGCAACGTTAACTCCACCTAACGTTTTGAATGAATGCATGCATTCGTCAAATGACGCAACATGGACGATGTGATATGTATTCATTGTTATTAATAAGGCTTTAATCTCTTCAACCTTCAGTAAACCTTTTTGTTATAATTATATTTTTATGTCTCTTACTAGACGCTTAGGCGCGGTCGTCTTCTAAATGTGGAGCGTCTAGTCTGCAACATAGCACCGTTCGGGCCGCAGCCGACGATGCCATTGTGGTTACCTGACGCACCAACAGACGCCTGTCCAACTCGTGCAATGCAATCTATTGTATGGCATAGCCTTTGTGATTATCGTTAGTATTAAGCTTGCATTATAACTTAGAGATAAACAAAATAATACGACTTTATTTTATGTATTAAATATTTAATTAAATGTTTAATCAAGAATATGAACTAACGACTCTCTCGACGATCTGTCGTGGTGGCCCCGCGGCTTAAGACGCCCACTTTTCATGCAAGAGGGTGTGGGTTTGAAACCTACCAATGGCAAGTACCAATGTGACTTTTCCGAGTTATATGTACTTTCTAAGACTATTTAGACACTGCCGACAAACGGTGAAGAAAAACATCGTGAGGAAACCTTGGCTTATAAATTCTCATTATAAGTTTGAAATCGTCAACCCGCATCGAGCAAGCGTGGTAATTAATGACCAAACCTTCTCCGTGTGAGAACAGGCTTTTCTCAGCTGTGGCCATTTATAGGCGGTTGATGATGATGATGGCATTTCTGCTTGTTAAATAAAGGTCACAATTTCAGAACCCAAAAATCCAAACGAGATTATATCGCTGGACCCATCTATGACACTTGAAGATCATTTAATTTTAAATGCCGTATTAGAAATAGAAAAAAATAAGACATTAAACTATTTGGGTAGTCTAGACAAGCTTTATTTAGCCAAAGTGGCTAGAGCAGCAATAGCGAATATGTATACGACACAATCATATTTGGATTCGGTGCAGAAGAGTGAAATCATGGATTTGGTAAATGTTATCGCGATCCTTACCAACGATAGTACAATTGCATTTGGACCTCAAGTGGTAACAGAAAACCCAAGATTAAAAAAGAAAACTTTGTTGAATATTGTAAATACAACGGTGGCACTGCAAACTGAAAGAACAACAAAAATGACAAAAGCCAAACAAACGAAACATAAACTCAATATGATCGAAGGACCGGGAGTTTACAAAATGGAAGATTTTACTGATTTCCTTGAAATGACAGAAAGTAAGTTGAAATTTAGAAAAAATAATAGAAAATGAACAAATGATTCACTAGAAATCGTATATTTGCAGATATCAGAGCCATTGAGGAAATACCTGAGAAAGACAAGAATTATTATGCTGAAAACGGTTTGATTGAAATGACCAAGAGTAAAGTTCCAAATTATACTGAGTACTCTAGGTAAGACAAGGATATAAATGGTAAAAAATGTGTAAATATAGTCTCTATGCCAGTGTGTTCGATTTCATCACTCCAATTTCATCAATATTAGCTCCCATTACGCTAGAGGGCGTGGTTTTGCATATATTGGTTCAATGAGATATTTTTTTATGAAAAATTCTCGAAAAATATTTGATGTACTTATGCCTATTAAATGTACACATATTTCAAGAAAGCAAGACATATATTTGACTGATGTGTGTGTGGTTAAACTGAAGTCACACAAGTAAAGCCTAAATTCACAAACAGTCCCAGTACTTCATGTTAGAAATATTGTAATAAATGTGAATAAATAATTCTTCTTAATATATCTCCAGTGATAAATTCAAAAAGGTGCAATTGTGCCAAAATCGCGCTGAGGGTGCATGTGTACATGAAGTTCAAAGTACCAATCATTATGCTTTCACGGGTGTGTATGAAGTTCATTAAATATGGATCTTGAATTACGTAATGGAAGTTTGATTGTATAATCCGTCATGTTGCAGTGGCACCTAAACAACTTTTGGAAGATGTGACAAATGAAAGACATTTAACAAGCAGACGTCATTTTGGTGTCTTTGATATACATATGTACGGTCTGATGAATGATGAGAGCTTCAGTGGTAGTGGAGACGATGACTTTCTCATAACAGAAAATAGTACTACGTCGATTACGACGGAAGATCGTAAGTTTGAAGAGGAACACTGCTCACCAAACAATTATAAATTATTTTTGGATTGTCTTTTGATGTATATATTTTTAAGAATGTTTAATTCTTTTGGGAAGACATGTCTAGTCTGACTTACTCACTTATAAATATTACTTTGTAAAGTTTCAAATCGATTATAATTGTTTCTTATAATTTGTTTGCAGCTGAAACAGTTCGCGAGCTACAAGAAGCTTTGGCACGTATGGAACGTGATATGGAACCGTATGATCCAACCAGAAAGGTACGCCACTTATTATTTTTTAACTTAGCGAGGAGTTAATTTTGGCCTGATTGATGACTGATGATCCGGTTCCGTTAGCGGAGGATTTGCCGTCAGCGGTTTTCTGTCGGCAGTCAAAGCGGTGGCAGGCGGTAGTTAACATTAAGTAATTTCATAACTACGTAGCAGTTAAAGTGTGGGAGAGTCATGCTTTGGCACGAATGGGCCAACCAGAGTAATACTACCACGGCTTTACAGATACTTGACGTAAAACAATGCTTGCCATCTGTTTTGACGTGTGAGTAATTTAGGTGTTACAGAAGACTCTATTACCCCCTCCTCAAACTTTCTAAACCCAAACACCTAGTTCTCAAAGCCCTAACCCCCAAAAGGGCATTCCCCTTTTATACTACAAGTGCATTCACTTATTAATACTGTAATTTTTACGAGTTAATTTGTCGAGCAAAATTACTAATCCTGTAAATCCAAAACTTTTGCATCGAGCTATGTCAAAAATCGATCTAAAACCAAACATTTTATATTAAGTTTAAATATTAACATTGGCCGTACTCCAGGAACGAAGAGATCTGGGTGTTGGAGAGCTGGAAGCGACATCTCGTGAATATGCAGAGACTCCGAGCAATGATTCAGACAGTGGTGACCAAATACTAAAAATTTTAAAGTTAATCCCTTCTTGGACAGCGCCTACAGAAAGTCCTAATATAGCTATTCGTGTTACTCCGTCTCTTGTGATAGTTTTAGCTGTACGTTTGTAATTGTTTAGGTGTATTTTAGATATATTTTCTTTGGTATGTCTAATTGTATAGTTTTCCTAATCGATAAAGTATTTGATATTGTTGTTCAGTTTGTTTTATTTATCCTTAACTATTGGAACAATAAAATACCTTTTAATTCCATAAACATAGGTCACATTTTTGATATTGAGAAATTCGATATGATTCACTCTACTCTTGTGATTCAAACTAAAACTCGAAAGACGATTTTCCAGAAAGTTGAAATAATTAAATTACATTTATAATTCCCACATCATACCTCTAATATTTTATTATTAATTAAATTTACGGAAATTTAGTATTACAACCCGTACCTCACAATTATTCTTAAACCATAAAATTTTTCTTAACATCAAATTATAAATTAATGTAATAAAAACGTAATGATGTTATACTAGGTCAGTGAGAATATTTCTGATTGCTACAAACACTTTGTAACAAAGGATTTTGGAGCATTAATGAAAACTTAATGACAGGTGATTCTCGTCCTCAATCGCCGGTCATCGGCCGACGGCAGTTGTGTTGTGGTCACCGTACCGAGTGGTCGTAGGCACGTAGCCGCGTAGCCGCGTAGACGCGTAGTCACGTAGCACGCCCAAAATTTTAGCGGTTTTACAACGCTACGCTTTCATTGAGTGTATTTGACATAGAGTAATTTTTAACAGTGTTATTGTCCTTTTTTTCTATTGTAAGAATATTCAGTCATCAGTTCTGATAAAAATAACTAAACGTTTTTCAAAAGTTGGAACTAAAGCCTCAAGCTGTTTTTCCAAAATACAATGACGAATGATAAGAGGACAAACTCGGAGCCTCGAGAGTCCACTGCAAGAGGTTGGACCCGACGACCTGATGACTTGAAGTTTGAATTTGGATTTGGAGTACCTCTAGGCGCAATGTCGGCCCATCCCGCTTTCCATTCAGCTTGGGACCTTGGATGGTAAGTTCCAGTTACTTGAATCATAAAAACATTTTACTATAAAAATTGAAAAGAATTTACAAATTACTCCTTTTATTATTTTCGTACTTACTTAAATATACAATAATTATTGTGTTGTTATTTTTCCAAATACATGTTATCAAGTATGATGCATTGTTTCCACAATACTGATGTACCTTGTGCTATATATTTATAGATGAACATAACTGTAATATATCGAGGGGTTCGATTCCCGGGTCGGGCAAAGTATTACTGGGTTTTTTTTTTTAAATTCTCAGTAGTAGCACGAAGTCTAGAAATGTGCCTGGTGTATGGCAATAGGCTCACCCCCTATTACATGGGACTCATAACATAAATAGTTAAAAGTGGGTGTTACTTCTGTGTGCACCTCTGCCTACCCCTTCGGGGATAAAAGGCGTGATGTTATGTTATGTTATATTTTTTCTAATTTTAATAAGATTAAAGAGCATGATCAAATTTTATAGACCTGACGGGTATACTTTCAATTACATACATGCGATCATATGTGTTACATATGGTGACGTAGCTTATTTATGATATTGTAAACAATAATAATTGGTTTGTTATATGAATAGTAAGGCAAAGATATATTATGTGTTTATCGACAAATAAAAAAATTCCGCACGGAGTCTGGAACTGCTTTTGGAGCATACAACAAGATGAATTATTATTCACTCCATAGAATAAAGTTTTTATTTCTGTTGTTCACTTCATATTACGAGACTGATTATACTGTAACAGCTGGTCAAAAGTGGGTGTTACATTGTATCTCTGCCTATTTTTGAAGCTTAAAAGGTGCCCTTGTATCAAAAGAATCTCGTAGTAATATTTTATCTCAAGAAATGGATTTTTCACAAACCTATCCACAAATCTAAAATTCATATTCAAACTAGTAAGACTAATAATTGACAAACTTTTTTGATACCTTTAGGAGTCAGAAAAGTTAAAATGTTCTAGAGGTAACATTTTTTTGTAGCCTATTGTCCGAGTTGGCCGAGTGGTCGCAAGTGCAACTGCCGGGCAAGGGATCTCGGGTTCGATTCCTGGGTCGAGCAAAGTATCACTGCATGGGTTTTTAAAAAAATCTCTGTAGTAGCACGGAGTCTGGAATTGATTGTGCCCGGTATATGGCAATGGGCTCACCCCCTATTACATGGGACTCATAACATAAATAGGGAAAAGTGGGTGTTACATTGTACAGTGGCATAATGTGCACTTCTGCCCACACCTTCGTGGATAAAGGCGTGATGTTATCTTGTATTGTAAATGTAACAACTATATGCCATAATTGAGTACAGTATTTACGTATGGTTTGTAAGATGAAGCGTAAGATGATAAAGAAAATCGAGTTATATGGCGTTTCATTTTGACTCTGCCTACCTCACTTCTGTGACGATACGTTGTATAAACACATCTGTTTTATTTATATATTCAAGATATTCAGTTGAATGGCTTGAACGTCACTTTCATGCAATTATGCTCAAGGTTTCTTCTCATTGGTAACTGATTTATAAGACTTATTGTTCAGTAAATTATAATATTAATTGTCTCCTTAATGAATTATTTTTTGTAAATAGCTGTCATTCAGCGAAGTACTTAACCTACTGTGAAAATGTAAAGAATATTTAACAGGTGAATTTCTTTTTTTAATGTTCATCTTAGTTGCTATTTACCTAGCACAAGATTAGCCGTCGGGTTCGTTAATGAACATTATTATCTCATTAATATTTTAAATGTGGGAAAAAAATTAAGTGCGGGAGAGCCATGCTTCGGCACAAATGGGCCGGCTCGACCGGAGTGATATCACGGCCTCACAGAAAACCGACGTGAAGCAACGCTTGCGTTGTGTTTCGTCATGTGAGTGAGGTTACCGGAGGCCCAATTACCCTCCCCTTCCCCAATCTCTGTAATTCCTGTATCCCCAACGATCCTCAAACTCCTAATCCCCAAAAGGCCGGTAACGCACTTGTTACGCCTCTGGTGTGCCAGGTGTCCATGGGCGACGCCGATTTCTTACCATCAGGTGATCCGTCAGTTCGTTTACGGGCTTGTCCCATAAAAAAAAATGTAAAAGTGAGTGTGTGTTTGCTTTATGTACCTACAACCAACTGGTACATTTAATTAATACATTAATACAAAATGTATGTCCTTTTATTGTATTAAATTGACCAATATAGCAACGATACTTTTTCAATGTTGGCATTCAGACTAATCTGGTTAAGTCTCAGTGCTGACCTCAGTCTGGTTAAGTAGAGGCTTCAGGAGCATTGAGTAGGCTTTCATTGAAATTCAATAACTTTTTAAGTTAAAAATAAATGTATAGAACATGTATAGTGTATACGCACTTTGAGTAAGTACCTCTAATTGAGATAAACATAAGGTAATTTATAATGCGATTTTTATAGTTTTCATAATTGACCTAGAAACTAGCTTTTCGTTACAAATGCGTTACCAGCCTTTTGGGGATTAGACATTTGAGGATTGTTGAGGATTCAGGGGTTGGGGAGATTGGGGAAGGTTGTCTGTGAGGTCGCAGGCCTTGATATCACTCCGGTCAAGACGGCCCAGTTGTGCCGAAGCATCGCTCTCCCACACTTAAAAAATATTTCAAACTGACCCAGTAGTTTTGATTGCAAACCAGTGCATTGAAAACGAAAGAAATTTTACATCTTTGTATAAAATATTAGTTTAAAATCAGTATTTACTTTTCACTACTTTTCTGGGAACACAATCGTAACGTTCCACATTGGCTAACCCCTTTATACAATGAACTTCTGAGTAAGTCCACATAAGTACGTATTTTTTTAAGCAACGTGTAATTACTTGGTACACCCAGTGACCTCCTTTGAGTGTGGTTTGATCTTAGTCGCGATAACGAAACCAACTATTATGGGGCTTTCTTATAACACATACCAAACGGGGTTCTATAAAAAGAAAACCATTTTTATTTTAGTGTTACGAATTATTTTTTCTCTATTTTTCATACTTATTTGGGAAGGACGCGCCCTGGGACGCGCCGGACTTCAGTGTTCCGGTGTTTTCATGGTTGTATCTACTGTAGATCCTGGCTTACAGGAGTTGCAGCGGTTTTGGGAGGTTGTGGCGGGCTTGTCCCACTAAAAAAAAAAAATATGTAACTTAACCCACTTTTCACTATTTATGTTATGAGTCCCATGTAATAGGGGGTGAGCCTATTGCCATATGTCGGGCACTATTTCAGACTCCGTGCTACCACTAAGATTTTTTTTAAAACCCAGTAATACTTTGCTTTATACACAGAATTTGTGTTATAAATTGTCATTGTCAGCTGATGTTTATAGTTTACAGTCTACTACTAGACTATGGGCCTCCTCTAAACATACACAAAAGGATTTGCTATAATTGCTTACCATCAGGTGAATCGTCTGCTCGTTTGACTCCTGGTCAAAAAAAAAATTATCACGCTAAGCAAGTGGGTTGGAAGTTTAAATATGATAGACAGAATCATTTATTTGCCAGAAATATGGTGTATTACATCTTAATCTATTATTTAAAGCGGTTGTTTTTTGTTTGTTTGTTTGAACGCGCTAATCTCCGTAACTACAAGTCTGATTTGAATAACTTTTTTGTGTTGGATAGTGCATTTATCAAGGATGGCTATAGGTTATAAAACATCACGCTACGACCAATAGGAGCTGAGCAGAGCGTGTGAAACGGCGCGGAAGTAGCTAGTATTTTATATATCTTGAGATGAATAGTTCATCATATCCCGCGTATAAATTCGGCATGTAAATATTTTAACAAAACTAAACTACAGCTTTAGAAAGGATTTTTTTTTTTAAAAACGTTGCACTGAACGTTGAACATAATACTGACCAGATTGGCGATATATTAAAGAAGGGCTAAATTAAAAGTACACTTAACCGACGAGCATGCATGAAAAGATTGATGACTGTTGAAGAGACGAAAGAGGTGTCATAGCAATTGGCGTTCCATAGTTTCTGCCTACCCCCATCGGAGACAGGCGTGAAGTTATCTATGTATGTATGTAAACTACAATTTCTGACATTGATTCTAAGTTCAAAACAATGAAATCACAATTTCTGATAATGCTTCCGAACTAGAAATAGAAAAAGAAATAGGTTCTCTTTTCATTTTTTTTGTTGACGTTCAAACGTGCCTTTCTGGTCTAATTGAAATAAATGATTTTGACTTTTGCTTTGACTTTGACTTTGAATTAAAACAAGACAAATTAAGTTACAGTTTCCAATAAACACACTGATTCAAAATAAAAAAATAAACTATAATATTAGTAAGCTAAGTTGGTTTATCAATAATTCACAAACAGGAGAAAAATAAATAAATTAAATTACAAATTTCTCCAATTGAAATTCAGAGTTATGAAATTAAAAATGTCAAAAATGTAAATAAAGACAGACAGGCTGACAGTAAGGTCTCAGATCTAGGTTACTCTTTGCGAACGGAATTCTAAACATAATATTATTTTATGAAAATCGTAAACAAGGCATTGTTCTTAATGATCCAACATTATTCATGCAGTCCACTTAGACGAACAATTAATAAAACAACAGTGTTATCTTTAGTCATAACTCAACTTGTTACAATTACTTTGACGAGGAAAGTGTTACAAATGTATTCCAGTCTCAAGGTCAAACTGGTATTTAGGCGTTTTATAACTTGTGTGATAGATGACTGACTTATAAGTGGTTTGAGGACTATAGGGTTTCTTTATTGAAAATTTACTGCCTCGTTAGCCGAGTGGTCGTAAGTGTGACTACCGGGCAATGGGTCTCGGTTTCGATTCCCGAGTTGGGCAATGTATTATTGGGTTTTGTTTTTTAATCTCAGTAGTAGCACGCAGTCTGGAATTGTGTCCGATATATGGCAATAGGCTCACCCCCTATTACATGGGACTTATAATATAAATAGTGAAAAGTGGGTTAAGTTACATTGTGATGATATTTTTGTAAAATTCTCAG